GTAAAGAGTTGTAATTTAGTTAGTAGAGGAATTTATTGTTTATTTTATTAATTAAGGTTTAGTTTTTTATGAAAACAATAAATAAGTGACTTTTCATAAATTTTTTAATTCTAACATAAATAATTTATCTTTGACCAAGTAAAAAAAAAAATAGTCTTAAACTGCATATAAATTAATTTTAAAACACCCTAATTACTAAATAAAAAATATATATCCCATAATATATCAATTTAACCCAAGGGTAGCTCAGTAATTTGGGGCCATGTAGGTGTCTAGGGTCCACACATACTCCAATTGCATTAATTTAGATGAAATGATGATGTCAACAAATGAAAAAGGTTCAATTTTTGACAATTGAACAGTTGGAGGGTGACATTTCCATGAGAAAGAAAAAAAGTTTAAGGCGTAATCTTCCATAATCGATGAGTTCAAGGGCTGAAAAGCCCTTTTCGCCATGGCCCGAAGGGGTATGGTAGTAAATTTCGAAGAACATTTCGTCTGGAGTCGGTCTGCGACTTTGGAGTCGGTCTGCGACTTTGGAGTCATCTAGACCATGACTTTCTTATTATTGGCCCAAACGAAGCCTTTCGTCTATTCTAAATTTCTAAGACTTAACAACCAAGTGCTTAAGCCTAAAGTTAAATCTATTTATAAATAAATATTGTGGTGTAAATTAAGTTTAAAATTTTAATTTTTTTAAGTATATTAAATTGATATAAAAAGTATATTTTTAAAATTATTTTTAAAACATTAATTTTAAAATATATAAAAATTATTTCATAAACACTGTAAATACCGAAAAAGAAAAAAAAAATTCCAAGTATTTGATTTCTGTTACAAACGCGTCATTGTTCCCTGAAATTTTTAACTGTTTTTGGTTGCGCGTTAACTGAATTAGCAAGGCATTTCGTCTTGTAGGAAGTTAATATAGTTAATACATATAATTTTATTTTATAATAAAGTTTTATTAATATTAAGTAGTTTGAGACACACCTAATTTCTTATTATAATAATCAAATGCTATACCGTCAATGTGAAAGCATCATTTTCTTTAAACATTGTTAAACTCTTGAAATGGTTTTTTTTTTTTTACTAATTTTTGATATAGACATTAAAATTTGATTAATTTGTAATCGAACTGCATCAAGTCCTATAAGAAAGAAGTTTTTTTAACTCATTTTTTTTTTTATAAGATCCAAACTTAAGATCTTATATAAAAAAAATTAAACTTCTTTTATTTAAATTAACAAATCATTAAACCTTAAACTCTTAAGATATTTTAGATTTAACTATTTTATCAAGGATATTACAAAAAGTATATACCCACGCAATATACCTAAACCGAGTTTGTCCATTGCAGATAATTTATTCAGAGCAAGCAAAAGATGAAATGACAACTAGTTTGCATATTCTAAAGCCAGTGCCTTTTTCCCCAAGCTAACATGAGAATGTGTCAACTTGCAGCGCAATCAACTTTTATATAGTAGATGAATATAATTTTTAATTTAGTTTAATATTTAAAAATTAATGATTTTATATCAACGATTTAAATAGTTTAGTGATAATTTTTTATTAAAAATAAAAAATCTTAAATTCGAATCGTATAATATGCGAATATGGTGAAATAAGTAATATAAAATAATTATTTTTCGTTGTGCAATCAATATAAAAAAAATAATTTTATATATTATTGTAATATGTATATTTAACTTTTATAACTATTTAATAAAAAAGGTTTATTATTTACTAATATAAAAATTTAACAACCATAACGTTGTTTCGTAGTCAAACTTGAGAAAACTGAAGAATAGTTAACTATTCATAAAATGGTGAGTTTTCGTATCGCATGATTTATCCCTTTTATTAATTATTAAGTAAAATACAGTTTGTGCACACAAATTGCATTAACCTTTTTGTTTTTTAACAATTAATAAAGTCTTATTAATATTGAGTAAGTTGAAACACTCACGAACTCCACCAAGTGGCCATAAGGTCATGCAATTTATTGAGGTTGCTGGACTGTTTACATGATTTAAATATCGAATTCTCAGTTGCTAATTTTTAATAATATTAATCTATTAATTATTACCCTTATAAAAATAAAGTTAAAACACTCACAAATTTTTTATTATAATAATAAATCCTACACCGTCAACACGTAGAATTGTGAATGCATCATTTTTCTTAAAAATTGTATAAATAATAATAAATGAGGTAAAAATTTAAGATTAAAATTTAAAATTAATGACATAATATAAATTATATAATTTAAAATATTAAAATATAAATTTTATATTATTTAATAATTAACTCATTTTTTTAAAACATTTAATATATTATATATATTAATTAATTTAATAATATAATATAAATTATATCATTAATTTTAAATTTTTATCTCAAATTTTTATACTCCATATCATTACTCAAATGGTTATGGTTTTGAAATGTTTGAGATTTAAATATTTCACTATGCATGTTACAAAAAGTATATACACATGCAGTGTACCTATACCGAATTTGTGCGTTTCAGATATGGTAAAAAGCTATTTTTAACTTTTGAACTTATTAAATTTAAAGTTTTTAATCTCTTATCTTATATTTTAATATTTTTAATTCATCGTCTTATTAGATTTGTAAGTTTTAACTCATCACCTATTAAAATCAAAGAAAATAACCATCACTTTATACTAACTATTAATTTTGTTAACTAAAAATAAATATTTATCAATTAACAGTCAACTAATAATCAATTAACAAAATAAACAAAATATTATAAAATTAGTTTTGTTAATTCTGTTAACTAAAGAAAATTTTTGTCAACTAACAGTCAACTAATAAAATTAATGATTAATTAACATAACTAACAAAATGTTATAAAATGAGAGTTATTTTTTATTATTTGAATAAATAAAAAGTTAAAAAGTATTATAATATAACGTGATAGACTAAAACTTACAAATTTAATAAGATGAAAGATTAAAAGTATTATAATATAAGATAAATAACTAAAATATTCAAATTTAATAATGTAAGGGTCTAAAATTAGATTTTTACCTATAAAAGTGGAAGTCAACAGTCTACTTTTTTTTTTAATAAATTTTATGACGAAAATTCTAAGAGTCATCAGAATTTGTATTCAAATTTTAAATTTTGGATTCAGCAACTTAATATTTAAAAAAATTAATTTTTTAAAGACTAAACTAATGTGGAGAATTTATGTTTTATCTAGAATAGTGGCAGAACTAAAAATATATATATTTTTTAGGAGATAAAATAAAACATTAATAACAAATGAATTAAAATTATACAAAATAAATAAAAATAAAAAAATGAAAATAATGAATTATATAGATGATTTATTAAAAGTATAGGAGGCCTGGACGGCTGAACTCTTAGCTTTGCTAGTGCTCCAAGAGAGATTAGTCGCTAGGTGTGCATTAATTTGAAGACATCTCCACAGCTTAACTATATATACAAACTAAAAGAAAAACTACAACAGAAATAGTTTTCACAGGTTTGTTCTGCCTCAGTTCATAAAGATTTAATTTTTTTTGGCCCTGACTGATATTTTATTGTATGAGAGATTGAAAGACAATGACTAATAATATGCGAAAAAACTTAATTATTTATATAACTTTAATTGGCACTTTTTATGTTAACAATCTAGATAATTTAGTGATTATTTATTTTTGCTAAAAGTAATAGATCATGAGTTCGAATCGTATGACATGCGAGTGAAATGAAATAAGGGATGAGAGATGATTCTTTCCTATGCAGCCAAAATAATAAAAAAAAAACAGATTTTATATAGTGAAAAAAGGGGGCTACAATATTATATCAAGGATCTCAATAGAATTAAAAAAAACTCGTTAAAAAAATTTAATTAATTAAAAATATAAAATTTTAAATTGTAGATTTTAAATGTGAATCTTTCAGTTGAATGGGAAATGATTTA